GGGCAGCGGTGACGGGGCTGGCGGCGTGCCCTGAGGGTCTGCTGTCGAGCGGGGCAGACGGCGTGGTGCGGTTCCACCCGCTGTCTCACGTCTGGGCCTGATGTTACGCGGGTGCCGTCCTCATGCTGTTAATCCGGTGGTGGCACCTACATCATTCTTTCGCTGCCCTCCTCTTCCCAGGCACGTGTTTGATGTTGCTCTTGCTGAAACTTTGACCCAATGTTGACTGCACCTTCTTCCATCATGCCATGCCCTTTAGTGTGACCCATAGGGATTTGTAAATCAATAGTCTAGGATGCGGATTGTCTCCCTCAGCAGCGTGCCAGGGTCGGCCTGCGTTGCGCACATGCTGGTGAGCGCTGTCCTGCAGCTTTCCAGCCGGTGTCGTCATGCGTGGGTCCTGCTCCCTCGCGTCGCTTGCATCGACAGGCAAGGCCAAGGCCGACCTGTAATACTACGCGAGCTTGATCGTATTGAGCGACTTCCCACTTACAACATTCAGATCCGCCACCAGGGCCGATCAGATTGTGCACACCGTCAGCCTACGGCAAGCGATCGCACCACCGTACCTATCGCATTCAGCCTTTCATGCGCGCCGTTTGCACCCAGCTTGGCTCGCACCTGTGCAGGAAGTCGCTGCTGCGCGCCACGGTTGCGGCGCTCACACCAGCAGGAGCACCTGCAGTTCGCGCCGTAGCGAGGCCTCGCCACCAGCTGCAGCGCCCCCAGCGAGACTTCGCAACTATGGCATTGGGCGCCGCGTCCGCAGCACCGGCAGGGCCCGAAAAGGTGCGGAATTGCTGCGACTGCATAAGAACCTCGAGACACTCTTATGCGGAGTCGACTTGCACTGCTCAAGACACGATGGATGACACTGCGACACAATCCTTTGCAACCTGCAGGTCAAGATCGCCCTCTGCCAGCTGCACGTGACCGCGGACAAGCCCTCCAACATCGCCGCCGCGCGCGCTGCCATCAAGGACGCCGCCGACGCAGGCGCCGCGCTCGTGGTTCTCCCAGAGATGTGGAACTGCCCCTATTCGAACGACAGCTTTCCCACCTATGCGGAGGACTTTGATGAGTTGAAATCAGGCGGCGCGCCGTCGGTCGCGGCGCTGTCGGAGGCGGCGGCGGCGGCGGGCGTCACGTTGATCGGGGGGTCGGTGCCCGAGCGGGCGGGCGGGAAGCTGTACAACACGTGCTGCGTGTTCGGGCCGGACGGGGCCTTGCTGGGGAGGCACAGGTGTGCGCGCGCGCCGTTGAGGGCGCCTCTGCGCCTGGCTGCATGCAGATGTTTTGTCGTCTGTGACTCATTGCACCGCTTGCAGCAGGTGTGCTTACACACGCGAGCACGCACACACGCGCGCGTACACCTTGTCTGCACGCAATATGCTGCGACTTTGCTGCATGCGTCCCATGCCTCTTATAAGTCTCAAACCTACCCCCAAACCTCGCACCCCAGGAAGGTCCACCTCTTCGACATTGATATCCCTGGCAAAATGACATTCAAGGAGTCCCTCACCCTCAGCCCCGGGGACGGGCCCACTGTGGTGGACACGCCCGCGGGGCGCCTCGGGGTGGGCATCTGCTATGACATCAGGTGTGTGTGTGTGTGTGTGGGTGTGCGTGTGGGTGCGTGCGTGCGTGCGCGTGAGTGTGTGTGT